AATATAGGGGGGAATCTATCAAAAAATTTCAATACAGAACGGGGTTGTCGTCAAGGGGAACCGATATCTTCATATATTTTCATTTTACGTGCTGAAATTCTATCAATAATTTTGAAAAATAATAAAAATATCAAAGGAATACTTATCAGGGAAAAGGAAATCCTCTTATCACAATTTGCTGATGACACATTTGTTTTTCTAGATGGTTCAAAAAATCTTTAGATGAAACATTAAAAGCTCTTAACTGACAACTACTAGAATTTCTGGACTAAAAATGAATTTCTCCAGACCCAGGTAATATGGATTGGCAGCAAAAAAAACCAGTGAAAACACTTTTACTACAAATTTTGACTTAAAATGGGGAAGTACACGCTTCACCCTATTAGGCATCGAATACGATGTAGACCTACACAGAATTATCAAACTGAATTTTGACAAAAAAGCTTGCAAAACTAAAGTCTTTAATATCTGTCTGGAACAAAACAATACTTACACCAATAGGTAAAATAGTTGTTATCAAAACTCTACTAATATCTCAGTTTAATCATTTGTTTATATCGCTTTCCAATCCTGATGACTTATATATTACACAAATTAACAATACATTGTACAATTTTCTATGGAATGGTAAACCAGATCAGGTAAAAATGGATATAATAATAAAAAAAACTCTGAAGAAGGGGGGCTTAAAATGATACATCTAAAATCTTTCATAACTGCTCTTAAAGCAACTTGGATCAGAAGGATATATAGTAAACTAGGAAATTGGGGTATTGTTGTGGAATCGTTATTTGATAAACAGAAATTAGCAAATATTTGAATTGAGAAATTGAAAGAAATATCAAAAAATTGTAAAAATGTATTTTGGAAAGATATTTTAGATGCCTGGTATAAAACTATCAATGCAAGCAAAATATACAAAACAAATATTAATGAAAATCCAATATGGTTTAACAGTGAAACAAAAATAGATCGAAAAGTTATCTTCAATAATACATGGTACAAAAAAGGGGTACATTTTATCCATAACATTATAAAAAAAAATAGATCTTTATACAGCTTAGAAGAATTTTGTGAAAAATTTAACATTCGTGCCAATTTTTTAAGTTATCAGAGTCTGAAAATGTTATATGTCAGTACATAAGGAAGAACCGCCAAGCTTTCGATTCAGAAAATGATATTATGTTACCAAGTATACATGTACCCATAAATCTCAAGTTAATCCTAAGATGTAAAAAAGGAGCTCATGAAATATATACCATATTAATCAAAAATGAAGTTAAACCCACCGCCCAAAATAAATGGAATCAAAATTTCAATATTGATGAAGAAACATGGAAAATATATATACAAATATCCTTCCAATACCTGTACCAGTTCCAAACTACAATGGTTACAATTCAGAATAAATCATAGAATCCTAACCACAAACAATTTTTTATTTCAGCTTGGTAAATTAGATATTTATATGTGCACTTTTTGTAAAACTCATCCAGAAACAATAATACATATATTATGGGATTGTGAAAAGGTATCTAATTTGATAGAATATATAAGAATTACGATTATAGCTAAAAATCTTGGTCTTCGATTTAATAAAATTAAACCGTGATACCTTTAATGGAGGTCAAGGTTATCTTTTTGAACAAATTTGATAGCCTCTTTCCTAGTATGCTATTTTTTAGCAAAACACCATAATCCTGCACTGCTTAGCATTGACAGGAAATCGTTTAAAGGTTTTAACAAAAAGACCCCTGTGACGGAGAAAGTGGGTAAAGATCATTCATTTGAACATCTTCATTCCAGCATGCTACTGGCCAAGTATCATCTCTGACCTCTTGTTATTTCTTTTTATATTTGATCCTAGTTACTTTAAAGGTAAATTAATGTTTTTATTTATTTGTTTATTTATTCTTTATTCTTTATCAATCTAACTATCTTTATTTCATGCTTTGTTGGGATCTATTCCAGGAAGCTACAAGCCAAATATAACGACTTTAAGCCCATTGGTCCTTCAGATGAAATCGTATGAAGTTTTAAACATATTTGACCCTCGTGACCTTAAAAGTATGTCAACGTTGTTGTTATTCCCGAACAGTGTTGGGGTCACACAAACGAATTAACTAAAAATGGAAACAGTTTTGGTTTTTGACTAAAAATTTGATCGCAACATATTTGGCTTGTTGAATATCAAACGGGAATGATTTTTTTCTTTGAAATTAAACTTTTTTCTTTGGCGTTTGTTTATTTTATCACAAGCAAATACATTTTTAAACACGTTTGAGGAAGATATGAAACATGAGACACATATGTTGTAATATGACGATTTTCATGTACATGTATAGCTGGTGATCATAGAGACAGGTCTAAGCTATAAAACTGACAAGATCCGAATCTGCAGAACGTTTCTCTGTAATATTGCCATTCAATCTAGATATATCTCTTCCTGATTCGCAACACGAAATTCTGGTCTAGTGAATAAAAATCTGTTATACATAATAATCATTCGAATTAACGATGTTCGACTGTCTCTATAATAGAAAGATTAGAAACAAATAGTAATTATCATTCGAAGTATATTGGATTCATATAAACTTGTTTTAATTAGCAAAACAATACGTATAACTCAATCGGCCAGAATAATTACTTATTTCACATTAACCGACATGAAACGTGTACATCGACGGAAAGCACATAACAAACATGGAGCTTATATTCAAATATAAACTTTATTTATCTCATAATAATTATGAAACAAGTTTTTACAACTTACATTAATCACTCTTGTTGGCCCGTATGTTAGCGCGCGAGGGATCTTAATGTGGGAGGAACCCGGAGTACTCGGAGAATACATTACTATACATTACTATATTCCCTAAGTTAATATTGGTGATATTTTATCCATATTTTTTCACGACATTTAGAATGTAGTTATTTGATTTTAAACCCTTTTAAAATCAAGTTGGACAATTTTGTTTGTTTTTTTGTTTGTTTGTTGTTGTTTTTTTTCTTCATATTTTAGGAATGTAATGAAATCTCTTAATATCACGAAAAGGGTTTTAAACGGTTTAAAGGGAAATCATATCAAGCTGTTATCAAAACCGGGGTAAATAAGTTAACGAAAATGAGTTGAATCTTCTTCTTTTTTAAACTTGTAAAGAAATTTGTTTTGGTGATTTATTTTCCTCATCGGTATGTAAGCCTGGATTCGAATGTCCCAGGCGAGAACTCATGCTTGCCATGTCAGATACAGATTTGCTATCAGATTTCGTGTTTTCCATTGGTCCAATTAGCGAGAGAACTACGGGAAGGAAAAACGTCGCATGCCCAACTCCAAACAGAATCACAAGCAACATTACTCTAAAAAATGACCTGAAGATGTAAGATTTGGAAAAGACCAGCATTATGATTCCTATGATTGAAGATATAGCTCCGTTCCATATCGGGCCCCCAGAACGTAAAATGGCATTTTTTACTTTCTCGTCGCGCGTGCTACCTTCAACAGTCATAAAGGCGTGGCAGATATGGGCGCTAAAATCAACTGAAAATCCAACGCTCATGATGACATGTATCATTGTGATTGAGCTCAAAGTTAAGTCCCAAAAATACATGAAACCGAAAATTCCTGTCATTATCATCACCATGGAAACGGTGACGTAAAGGATCAAAAGTGGACTGGGCATAAACAATGCAGTCACAACAAATATCACTGCGACTGCTATTCCGACTGTTTGAAGGGTGGAAGGGAGTATAGCGACATACTGTTCGTAAAATATAAAACTCGGGGAATATGCAATAACATGTAACGATGAGTCCTCTGTCAGACTCCTCATTCGTAGCATGAAATCACCCTGTTCTGTAGAATCGACAAGATTATTAGTGAGGACGTATACGCGAGAAGCCCGTATTCTTAGACTAGTACTATCAAACCTGACATCATTTTTGAATTCCTCATTCGAATCCAAGAACAGTTTTAGATTGGTTACAAATTGAGATTCGCTCGTATTGTTGTAAACTGGAGAAGATCTGAAACTGTCAAACCAGCTTATTACCAGGTTATTGTTACCTACCGTTTTGTCATTCTGAACATGTGTCATTAAACTGTCAATGGAGTTCACAGTTGACACTTTACTATAATCTAAAGTACCATCGATAACAAATGAAACCGGTATGCGTTGAAGAAAATGTTTTCGATTTTGCAGGTTATAGGTAAAGTAATAGGAATCATCGGAAACAAGATTGGTCGTATCGAGACCCTGCTTGAAGTTAGTGGCCCCCCAAATTGCAACACCCAAGTAGACCGCAAACGAAATGAGGGTTATGATTTTAACAGGTGTAAGAGTTATAAACTTGATAAGAATTTGTCCGGGAAGACGTTCAAGCAAGCTTTGCATATCCGATACCGAAGTAAGAGCAGTTCCTCCACAGCAAAAGCGACGCAGTCGGGAAGCGGCGCCCATCTTGTCCTTCATTTCTATCGTATGACAGCACAGACAGCAATGCTTTTCAGCCGATACTCGTCTCTCGTTGATCGCAATACAGGCGATGAAAAATGTCACAAAGTTGAGATAGCAGAAAAGCACTGCAATTCCTGCAAAAGAATCGTTTAAAATCAGGTGATATAATGTATACAGTGTACCAGAACATTTTTCCCGCTGTTAGATTTCCATATTCAGGACAAATTTATCATATAATATTAGTACAAAAGTACCATAAATAATAATTAAGGTTGGGGTCGCAACTGACACTAAGCGAATAATATGTTTTACTGGTCGAAGGCGAATATTTGAATGGCCGAAAGTTTCCATGTATCCATAAATGTACATGTAGATTAAAATGTCTAACAATATAGTTATTGTATATAGGACAAAAAGGGGACAGCAGGTTTAGTTTAAACACATTTATTATACAAACATACAAATGGATTGGACAACAAGTTTTTTCAACTTAATACAGGCCTCTCCTCAATACATATGGTAAAAATAATGTACATATATGTTTATTGGGAACAGAAGAAGGTTAAGGTGGTGAAGGAGAAGGAAGGGTGTTAAAGATCGTATTTAAGTGGACTGCACTGATGTCTAAGTTTTGTTTGCAAAATGTTCAATTTACGTTCACCAAAACTGAAGGAAATTGGTGGAGGTGATTGTACATTTGAAGTTAATGAGTTTTTATAGAAATCAATGATCTTACTGAAAGGTCCAATGCATTTCAACTGCGAAGAGTTGAAGGTATAGAGAATGAGTTAGTTAGAGAAAGCCTGAAAGGAAGAATAATATACTCATTATTATTACTAAGGGTGTAACGCCTATTTTCTGAAACGGGAGACGGCAATAGATCATTTGAATAGTCAGGATTTAATTTGTTGTTCATTTCATAAAAAAGTTGGGGTTTTCTGTGTTTTTTTCGATTTAAAATAGTTTCGGGACCAGTTTCAAAAAGTAAATCTTCAATTCGGTCATATGAAGAAAGCCCAGTTATAATACGAATAGCTTCTCTTTGGGCTTTTTCAAACACTTCTGTTTCATAAGTTGTACAATCATCCAACAATTCACAAGCAACTTCTAAAACTGGCAAAAATAAAGGATTTATAAATCTTTAAAAGATTATCTCGATTCAATAAGTATTTTAGTCTACGTAAGACATTGACTTTTTCATAACTGAAATATATATTGCACAAATATGATCCCCTCATTTTGCCCTTGAATTAAAAATTACACCTTAATGTTTATGATATGGTCAGAAAAAATTAAAAATTCGCCATTAAATTATCATTATAAATCTTTATCAATTTCGACCAAGTTTGAAACAAACTTTCCTCAGTTTTTTTCTGGATTGAAAAAAGAAATAAGAGAGGTCCAAGAATGAACCCTGAGGAACACCTGCTTCAATGAAACCTAAATGGGAGAAAGAATTACTCAAAAAGGACTCTCTGGTGCCTTTGAAATAGGTAATTATCCAACCATTGATAAAATTCTCCTGAGATTCCATAGGATTTTAACTTAATAATCAAACCCTTATGCCACACCCTGTCAAAAACCTTAGAAATATCGCAGATTATCATACATACATATGTTTTTCCCCTCTAGAGCAATACAGATGTTATGATGAGTTTCAATGAGCTGATATACTGTATAATGACCTGGCTAAAAATCAGACTGGTACTTATACAAAAAATGAGTTTTCAACAAAATAATTATGCAAGTATTTGAAATTTACTGTCTCAAACACTTTTCCAACAGTAGATAATAAAGAAATTGGCCTGTAATTAGTGGGAGAATGCCTGTCACCTTTTTTAAACAGAGGCATAATTTGTTTTCCAATAGTTTGGGTAAACACTAGATGATAAAGACATATTAAACATGATTTCAAGGGGAACACAAACGGTTTCTAATGTGTTTTGTAGCATATGATGACTGATTCCATCCTCACACTAGGCCTTACCAAGCTTCAATATCTGTAAAATATCTCGTATTTCATTATTATTGACTCTAATGGATCTAGGACTCTTGTAATTTGTTGACTCGATGAAAGGCAGTGCAGTGTTTCTATCATCCACACGAGTTATATTACAAAAATACTCATTAATAAATTAGCCTTTTCTTCGTCAGTAGTAACCACATTGTCAGAAACAGGATCTACAAGAGTAGATATAGATTGTATATTACCAGACAATTTTATTCACCTTTTGATGAGTCTCCATTAACTTTTGGATCGGAGGACGAGTACTCTTCAATAATGCCATGAACATTTTCATAAAATAATATACGGGCATACTTTTTCATGTTATTGACCTTATTCCGTTAATAACATGAAAAAGCATGCCCTTAACTTATTTTATGAAAATGTTCATGGTATTATTGAAGTACACTCGCCCTCTCATTCAAAAGCGTATAGGAGGACAATAGGTAAACAGAATGAAGTTGATGAGCCAAACTGCTGCAGATGGTGATGCATGTCTAAATTTATCTTTGAAGTGTTATCTATGCTAGGAATCAAAAAGTAAAACTCTGATTATGCAGACCCAACAACCTGTTTAGAATACTGGATTTTATTGACGATGCACATTGGGTCGGGTTTTTTTACCCAAATTATTAAAGTTTTAAAGTTTTGTCCTCGTATAGTGATTTTTCGTTCGTCAACTCTATGGTTCTGTCTCGACTTAACTTCAGATGTCTACAGGTCAATGCATGACCAAGGTTTTTAAAGTTCTACAACCCCGGGGAATAAATTTAAACACTCCCCGTTAAAAAAATTACAACAACAACATAAAGTGATTCAATGGTTCAAAAACTATTTAACAAATAGAAAACAAAAAAGTTATTATCAACGGGGTGTAATCATACTTGGCAGATATCAAGGCTGGTGTTCCTCAAGGTTTGATATTAGGCCCTCTTATGTTTTTAATTTATATAAATGGTATTGTTATTCATATTGCCTCTGCAATTAGCTTTTTGCTGACGACACCTCAATTTATATCATAGTTGATACGCCCTTTTTGGCAGCTGAACAACTAAATAATGACTTAGAAAAAATCAATATTTGGGCTAAACTTTGGCTAGTGGATTTTAATCCACAAAAAAAACAGGAGTATTATTATATCAAGGAAATGAGTCCCTCCCATTCATCCTTTTCTATATCTTAACAATGCCCCAATAGAAAATGTGAACTGCCACAAACATTTAGGTGTTACACTGTTTGAAGATTGTAGTTGGTCTATGCATGTTGATAACATTATCAACAAGGTGGCGACGAAACTAAACCTTTCACGAAAAATACGTTTTACTCTTGATAGAAAAAGTTTACAAATATTATATTTTACTTTTATAAGACCAATTTTTGAATATGCTTACGTCGTCTGGGACAAGCTAACTATTGAATATGTAAATAAGCTTGAGAAAATTAACCAGGAGGCAGCGAGAATAGTATGTGGTGCTACAAAACTTACAAACCTAATAAAGTTGTATATAGAAACCGGATGGGAAAACTTCAGTGAAAGAAGGAAAAAACATAAATTGACACAATTTTTCAAGATGTTTCATCGTCTCACTCCTGATTATCTTTCCAAGCTTGTACCTCCTAGCATGTCTGAAATGCATAACTACAGCACTAGGCATGGTTACGATCTTACAGGTATTGGATTGCACTACTGAGTTTTATTGTAAGTCTTTCCTACCCTCAGTTATTTCTTTTTGGAATAATATTCCTGAGGATATTCGTTTTAATCCTTCGTTGCCCAACTTCAAAACCTATCTCGACCAGAACTCTAGGGGACGCCCCCCTGAATATTATTATGTAGGATCGAGACAATATCAAATATATCATACTAGACTACATCTCGGTTGCAGTTCTTTAAAACGCCATCATTTTGAAAGAAATCTTGTTGACAATCCCTTATGTTCATGTGGACATTTTGTAGAAAACAGTTTCCATTATTTGTTATATTGTACTAATCACATTGAATCACGCCAAAGATACTTGACTCCATTGCCTTACCAATTAAGTGTTAATTTATTACTGTTGGTGATGTATAAAAAAAACATATGATCAAAATGTTAACATTTTTATAGCTACTCAAAATTTTATCAAATCAACCAGAAGATTTACAAGCAATTACAATTCAACCACATAAAGTTATCATGTAAACTCAACTACCCATCCAACCGGGTAAAACTCCATCAGTTACTATCTTTATCCATGTTCTAACTGTTTCTCATTACAGTTTCTGATGTACATATTGAGGCTATCACTTCAAAGTTATAATGTTACAAAAAAATGTATATTTACATTTGCATGGCATTGTCACTATATAGCCTCTTTGAAAGCTGTGTTGTTGATGGGACTTTAATTACCATGCATCACAAGACACAATTCTTAGCGTATTAATACAACACTGACCGGAACTACAATATCCAATATAAATAAACATGACGGCTGCTGAAATATCGCTGGGCATTGTGAGATTTGACAATGTCATTGTAAATTTATGTGCAAAATAAAAAAATAAAATAAAAACGCTTTTATTACAACGAAAACAAGACCAAGGTCTGCTATACATAATGTATCGTACAAAATGCACATCGGTTGAAATCACCAATGCCGGCAATGGAAACAATTTTAACGCTCATGCAATTTATCGGAAATATCGTCTGTTACACTGCACTGATCAACAGGGGTTCGTTACAAATGTCTGAAATAAACATATTCTATAGACCTACTGACACATATGTTACAGACCTACTGATATGAGTCACAGCACACATAAACATTCGTCATTTCAGACATTTGTAACGAACCTGTGCTCCGTCGTAAGATCACTCACTTCAAACGCTATCAGTTTCACGCGTCTCGGATCCACGGTTCCTCACTTTCTGACGACATGTCAAATAACGATGCTGTTATAGAATCTACCGATTGTTGTCAGGTTCCCATACAATCAACAAATACATTCAGGCCTGAATTCTTCATAAAATGAGCAAAGAGAAAAGTTCGAATTAACCTTCCAAAAATAACTCCCTCGTGGAGGGCGAGGTCGGATTTACGGTGTTCACTGTATTTGTCCATGCGCGAAATTTGTTGCGGGGAAAAATCGAAACAATTTTAAATCAGCTCAGAGTTCTATTGATAAACTTAAATCACCCTATAGACATACCATACGCAATTGTATTGATACTGAATTGTGGAATAAGATTGAAGTTGTTTGCTTGCAAAGCTGTGTCATTCAAATAGATCATAAATACCATACAAAAACAGTTCAATGCTTAATTATCAGCAAAGCTTGTTACATATGATGAGAAGGACTATGTATAAGTACGACAGGACTTGTTTCCCAATTATCAGAATGAAATGTCCATGTAATTGTACATGTTTATTGATATGAATAAAATATGGTTTGAACATATCTGCCCGTAAGAAGGGAGAAGCGAGCCGGCCAGCTACATGTAAGCATCTGCCAGACTGATTCACAATACCAAAACACCCAGCTATATAGCCAAATTTAATTGTATGCCTTGAAATACACGTGCAATGTAGTATTGAACTCGATGCTAACCCATACCTGAGCGTTGAGTGCTGTACAGGTAAGGTAACATATCCCAAAAATATTAACCAACCAGAAACGTCTAAATATAATACCAGAAGGGAATCCCCAATGGGAATACCCCAGGTAAACAATACGGTGCCGATGAGCACAACACGCACTCCGTTTTACGAAACGTAAATACGGAAATATATACAACAAGTAAGTGTTCAAAGCCCAATCCTTTTACAAAAGAATACACCTAGTTTTATCCTACGTATAAATATTTCAACATACCGGTGTATATACAGAAGTTCCGCACCCCTGGGAAAACTGAGGAGGCTCCAACTGAAAAAGCTATGATGTCTGTCAGGGATGTGATAGTTATTGCCACACCACTTGTGCGCATCGTCTCCGCAACACGTTTCGCAGGCGTTTCGTTTAACGGGGCTTCTGCAAGGCCGGCCAATAATATAAACATATCGTCTATCCCTATACCTGCAGAGAAATTGAAATAAACCCATTTATATATGTTAATAAATATCTCCAGAAGTTCAATATTTATTCAGTACAATCGTAATCAGAGGCGATACAGATAAAATGTTTTCTGTTAGGGGAGAACAATTCGTTTCTGATGGGTCGAGTTGTGGAAATGTAAAATCATCAGAATTATTGTTTTCATTACACAGTACAAAGCAATACTTTACAGTCAGAATATACATTTTCGTTTTATGAAAAAATAGTTGTTGTTCTAACTTTTTAATGCTAAAATTTCACACAATTCTCTACATGATAAATATCTCTGTATAACAATTAACTATTACCAACTATGGCCATATATGGCACCGAGCGTTGGTTTAACCACCCTATCTATCCAAATAGATGGAAACCAAAACTGATGATGATAACGCAACTTTGTTTTCTTATGTTGACAGTCTATTTCAGGTTATCATAATACACTGTAGCTGTCTTTAATTAATTGACATATCCATTTATTTATATTTCTTACTGTTGACATATATCTATAATATTTTGGTCGCCATCAAGAAGTGGTCAGTTATTTCACAAGCAAGTGAGGTTTTCCATTACCCTTGGTTTCATACATTGCAATATATTGTTGTACAAGTAATCGATATTTATTTAGTTTGAATGATGACACAATGTTTATTTTGATTTGTTTAGATAGACAAGATTAAATGGACCAAGTCAGAATTCACCGCTACTTCAAGTAACTAGCATCCCCGCAAAGGGACGGGGAGGGAGAGGGAAAATAAAATCACATTACATTTGAATTACATTAAACTACTATACTAATAATATAGCGCTATACAAAAATATTAAAAGCATATCAAAAACTCAATGTCAATGAATGGAACAGGGTGCGTTGTATATGATATTCCTCTCATGTGAGTACACAAACTAAATATACAAGTAAGGCTAACCATAGGACTTCAAAAGCTAGGCAGCTTCTAACATTAAACGTATGAGTTTGGAATAATACTTTAAACTAAATAAAGTCAAAATGCAAGATTGACAATTCAACGATTTTGTAATCATAAACGTATTCTTATTTATTGTAATAATTCGTTTAATTACAATCATATTCACATCACCATTTAACTTGTATTTTAAAATAGCTTATTATATTTATGTAATTCTAAATTTGAAAAGAATGTCTTGCCTGTTTAAATGCAATGTTGAAGTATTCAAATATGTGTTGCATGTTATGATTAATTTATTGCATGTATTATGAAGAGGCGTATACATCTAATTTGCGTTGTTCAAAACATGTAATATACTTTTATATATTTATCAATGGTTCAATGGTGATATGTTAATAAAATAAAGATGTGCGTCTTTAAAATTTATATAAAGTGACATGCCAACAGGTTTTCAGATTACATCATTTATCATGGATTCTATGATGAGTTACCTTAATTTAAAAACTTAAAATTAATAAAAGTGCTAGATATTTTGTTAGCTGTATGCCAAATTAATCAATATTTGACCAAAAGACAGAGTCAGAAATAAATGTTCAAGAAGTAAATTGACATATAATCCAATGGGGAAAATGACGTCACGTGATATACGTATTGCAAGTCACCGTAGGACTTCAAAAGATGAATATATCCTTACCATAATTTACGTACAGTTTCAAACAGTGCATCTAGTCATTATATCACGCATACTAATGATAATTACAGAAATTTAGAATACAATAAAATAAATTTGAGTACAATTGGTAACGGTATTGGAGAGCTATCTTCAAAAACAGTGTTGCACTTGCAAACTGTACTTACCTAATACAAGAAAAGGCATCACCCCTACTATATCAACGAACTCCACACCACAAGCACTGACGAGTCCAAACGAAGCTAGAATACCAAGTCCAGTAGTTGTAACACCGGCCCGTCCGAGGTTTTGTCTGTCCAACAAGCAGTCACACTTCATTGAGACAAAGGTCGCATACACAATCATCAAGGTGAATGTCAGTGATACAAACAGAATGTCGCCACTGATGTTGGATGTGAGTTCCTCATCAAGAGATTTTGAATGAGCATATGTCACGTCCAGTAACGTCGACTGAATGTTTTGCAAATGGGATACAAAATCTTTCTCCCATAATTTGGAATTATCCCTACTATCCGTGGTATCCTGCCGTAAATTGAAAACAAGTTTGATAAACTTAGCAGATTGTAAAACTCCTCTCTGAATGATGACATCACCAAAAATGGATTCCAGTGAAATGTTCCCTAACAGCGGATAGGTTATATTACCTCTCACGAGCAACTGGCCGAAGTTAGCGGAGAAAATGATGTCGCCATCCACAACACACTTGGAACCTCGGACAGCACAGAGTTGTGAGTAGTTCATTCTATTTCCTAAAACGTTGGTTATTGCTTGATCGTAAATTGACTGGATTTCATGAATGTAAGGAACAGTAAGCAAATTAGAAGCATTCTTGCTTTCGAAAATCACAGTGCCGAACAGATTTGCCTCAACAAGACTTTGTGAGTAAAAGTTCGCACCGGAATCATCATCAAAGATGTTTTTGATCGTGCTTCTATCCTGGGAGGCCTGGCTATCACTGGGCGTATAAACCTTCTCTACGTCTGACTCAAACGTTAGGTTCACTAGTCCTATCCCCAATAACCCGGACACAAGGACGGACACTGTCAGAACAGTCCATGGATAGGTACCGACCAGCTCTCCATACCTCGCAAAAAAGTTTCCAATAACCCTTTCAACTTTGTTGTACACTTTCCAGCAAACCATATTTGCCCTGAAAGGAAAACAAAATCATTGTATATAATAACCTAGTCAGTGTTTTGATATTTCCAAACTAAATCAAGTTGAGACAAAATAAATAGAAAGAACAAGGATCAGCATGTCAATTGACAAGAACTTCCATTGTTTTGCCAAATACAAATTAAAAAGAGCCTTAACATATTTGTGTTCAGTTACAATATATTCAAATGAAAATGGGGGGCAACCAATGACGGATTACATTTTTAATGCTTAAACAAATGAAGAAAGCAAGCATAACTTGAACATCTTCAAGTTTGCCATACATTTTCGTTTATCTCGATATTGAAATTGTGTTTTCTGAAAACTACAAAAAGAATCTGACCATGTCAAGTTTGTTTTTAATGAAGAAAGAGCTTGTTTTGTCTTATTTATGAAATAACAAAAACGTTGTTCAGTCTTTTAAGTTCATTTTGAAAACGGTCTAATAACCTTAATAACCTTTGAAGACTCCTACAAAGAATTTGGATGTTACACATTCGATTTTGTTAAAAAAGCAATTACAATGAAAAATATAATTTCATTACAATGTACATTACAATGTACATAGGTTATTCTGGCATTTCGAATAAATATCAATAAAGGTATCAAGAACGCAAAATTCAAGGTTTAAATCTCACTACTACAATGATGATTATCAGTACATGGGGTAATATACAGAACAATTCCAATGCAACAGACAGGATACTGGGCAAATATGGAATTAACCAGCAAGGGTATTAGGTATTAGAAACCGTTATCATGAAACAATAAAAAAAACCATAGACAATGACAACATGAATGAATAAACGAATGATGAAGGAATGACGAATTGAACGAACGAACAAAAGAACAGACGACTATGAATGAAAGAATGAAGGATTGAATGACTAGATGAATGAATAAATGAAGGAAGGAAGGAATGAAAACATGAATGAAAGAATGATCAAGTATTCATATCACACAAAACTTGATATACTCACAGTACGATATGAAGTACAGCTCGCACCACCAGTTCACACACTGACTGACAAACTCAGTCAAGCTGTCTACTGATAGTAGCCAATGGCAACAATGACATGGCGTGTGATTGGATTTTGATCATATTTATGGCGTAAAAGCGTGCGCAATTACGATATGCTGCAACGAATGCAGGAGTTATATTGATCGATAACTGAGCAACCAATGACAAGGCATACCGACAATCTATTTAAAGGGGTAGAACAGGTATAGTGTGTAGCAGATACTTAGAAAAGCGATGGCAGGTGAACAGGTAGGAGCGCCTTCCGGGAAGAATGACAGTTCACATGTTAACTGATATTCAAACATTTAACATATATTAACATAAACCACATAGGTTTTAAACGGGTCATGCCAACTAGAATTGAATTTAATCGGATAACGAAAACGTTAAATTGTTAGATCTGCCTAAAACTCGATTTTAATCACGATAAATATTTGGATTTGTTGAAAATATTTTTTTTTTACTCCTCCTGATGTATTGTTGGTGTGATTGCGTACAGGCAGGAGACTAACGTTTACTGCTGCTGACGTAAATAGCTGTGACTATTACGAGATAATATATATATAACTCGCATTCATTGTAGCTGGAGTCAGAGAAACAAGATTGTTAATGTTTATCGACTCCGTTCAGACTGGATATATTGAGATATAATTTTAAGACGAAAAAACATGCTGCCTAGTTTTCATATCACACAGACGATGACTTGTTGACTTTTCTTAATTCTTATTAGATTAAATCCCTTTTTAGGATTATTTTTCATTTGAAAGGAAATCTATTTTGTTAATTGTAACAACGACTACTGCAATGTTTTCATATGTTTATCAAAGCAAATTATCAAGCAAATAGAAAAAGAAATATTTCTCGCATAAATCGGCATATATGCTATAGACTTGTTTTAAAGTGTTAGTTATATATGATAAGAAACCTGAATAAGTAAATCAACGTTGACAATTACAACATGTATAAGACTCATGTAACCGTCATTTGAAATGTATATTCTTACGCAAACATTGCAATTATCTTTTATAGAAATGAAATTAATATAAAACAATGGATGACGACAACTCCATCGTTATCGTTGGAGTTGGTTGTAAGTTTCCCGGAGCAGACAACCTTGACGAGTTTTGGCGGGTGCTGATTGAGGGAGAGAACCACGTGATAGAAATACCACGAGATAGATGGAACAATGATGCCTTCTATCACAAAGATCCGAACGAACCAGGGAAATCATACGTCACGCGGGCCGGGTTCATCAAAAAGTAAGCCAATAGTATTTAGATAATATCTTGGACAATGTTGTATCTTTACAACAAAAATCTTGTAGCACACTCATTTCAAAACATTTACTTACAGAATACTATTATTTCACTTATTTGAGCGCTTTATCAAATGGCAATTTTTTTATATATATACTATCTAATAAGGCGTACAATATGACGAATACCTGTGATAAAAAGGAGCATCTTGATCAAGTCAAAGTTATTAAAAAACACTTACTATAAAATTGTTTTTTAAAAGGTAAATAATTGCAGTACCCTTTCATTCACTCTGTTATTTATTTTTTTAGGTTTTTTTTATTTATTTATTTATTTTTATTGTTTATGCAAATATTTAATGACATTTAATGTCCTTATATAATGAGCAAAAGGGTGAATAATATATCAGCATAATTTTGACCTTTTTTTTAAAGAATTGCCATAACTGCCTTTCTCATACATTTTAAAGGAGATCTTGTTAACAATATACTCATCCGGCTTTGATTTTAACTATTTTACCGCTATTTATGTTTCAAGAAAACACTGTTAATAAAAGATTTTCTAACTTAGCTTGATTATAACGTAATTTCATTTTTTTCATTTCCATCGATTACCTTTTACCAAACTTAAATATATCGATCTAGATCGACTCTAATGAAACAGATTAATCGAAAAGTTATTTTGATAACAAATGTTTGTATGTTTCGATATTAATACTGAACAAAAGACGTACATGTTTCGATTTTATTTTCTTAACCGAATAAGACATTTTTGAAAAGTCCGTAAACGCTATCAGTTTTATGCATATGAGGATTAACTGATAAGATATTTCAATTGGAAAAATGTTTGTTCCGTGGTACTGAACATACACATGAAATGTTGAAAATGCGCATTTACAAGGCCTGAACACCTTTAAATGAACTTTTTATTGGATATTGTTTTTTGAAGGATACAAAATCAAAATGCTTGTGATTGCTTTGGAGTGTTGATTTTGTAATGTCCAATGTCAAATGATGACAGTAAAGTGTCTGGAGATGATAATTTGGATGATTCATGGGTTGTTTTTATGTTGCACCTTTCTTGATATCCTTACCTAAGTAGGGTATGTAACATCGCATTTGATTGGTCACATTATTGTGATATAAGTAATTGTCTGATCAAATATTCAAAGAGAGGTTACCCTGTAGATGAAAATTTAAAAAATACAGAGAGATCACAGAGTTCTTTACTGTAAACCCAAGATAAAGCCATATTATTTAAGAATATCCCATAACTACAAAAGACAAATGCTATTACTCACCATGCATGTCTGCTATTCTCAATAAAAAGAAACTAGACGGTGAAACGTTTAACAGTGAATTACCGTATATCAGAGTCTAGCTGATGAGCAGCAAAGATGAAGCATAAGTGGATTTAACAGCGTTAACCCCCATATTTCAGATACGATGAATGGGACAACAAGATGTTTAATGTCAATGAAATGGAGGCTGCATGGGTGGACCCCCAGCAGCGCTACGTATTGGACTGTGTCCATATGGCAATAGAGGATGGCGGAATCACTAAAACAGTTCTTAATGGGTCTAACACTGGAGTTTATATAGGTAAGATGTCCATAAGTCCGATACAGTGATGTAGACAATGTTTAAAACACACAGAACTACTTTTCTAAGAGATCACGGGATCCAGCAGAAATTAAATTCATATAAAAGTCAGGGCAGATAACAATAATTATCATTTAGGTAGTCAGTATGAGAATACTCGAGAAATGTTGAGATGCTAGAAGGCACGGTAGTCTATTGGAAGGACGCCGGGCTCGTGACCGGAAGGTTGCGGGTTCGAGTCACGGCACGGTACTGTGTTGCATCTTTGAGCAAGATACTTTACTCCGCTTGTTCCAGTCTTCTCAGCTGTAAATGAGTGCGTGGTTGGGAAGTGCTACAATTGCTTAATGCTAGTTTTGAGCGCCGAAATGGCAGCACAGGCTGTATGTTTACCAAGGAGTTAAGAGAGATATTGGCTGGTTACAAAGGCACTATAACCACGATTATATTCAGCAAAACACAATTATTTATTAAATCATGAAAATAAAAAATGAAAAACAATACCATATTCAGCGGTAATATGCTTATGGAATGGCTAATAACAATAACAATCTAAAGTATGTCTCTCTATGATTATGCAAATCCACAAATATATATTTGAAACTATAACGGCCATTGTCGCCGAAATATCATGACGCGGAAACGATGGCAATACATCTTGTCACGTTATTGTGCCAAGACAAGAGATACTTAGAATCAGACAAACAAATCAGGATAACATTCGTAAGAACTTTGTTCAACTCAAAAGGGGTTTGTTCTATTTGGTTGAGGATCAATTCGTGAAGCAAAGAAATGTGTAGGAAGGAAATATTCCTGTCTTACGGATTTTTATTCTTCATTAATTTTGAATATATATTCGTATTTGAATGATACTTTACCGCTTTATAGTAACTCTTACTCTGCAAAACTGTTGATAGATATCCATGTGCATGAAGTGAAATACAAGAATGGTGATATTATAAAACTAAATATTCATATCGAGATTTATATTATGTATACAGTGAATTTATTTAAAATAATATTGTCAAGTGATCTTAAGTGCAATATTTATTGTTCACGATAGGTGTAATGAACGACGATTACAAAGGAAGCTCAAACAATGACCTCAACACGATGACAAATTACAGTCTGACAGGAACATCGCCGAGCATAATATCCGCTAGAGTGTCCTACACGTACAACCTTCTGGGACCTTCAATGTCAATCGACACCGCCTGCTCCTCAGCACTGGTCGCTATCCACACGGCCTCGCAAGCACTTAAATCCGGTAACGTTCCTTAATTTTACAGGAAACATTAGCAAGGGTGCTTTTCTTGTTCAAGAAAAACGTTCATGTCGCTTTAAGAGCGCAACGGTGTTTTTAATTTGAATATGCCACATCGGCGGTGATGCTCTTTTAATGACATCACCACAACCCAAACATACCTACTTTAGTTTTTAAACATTTGCGTCATTGTGTTATGATTCGAAATTTCAAAATTTCAATATTTCACACAAAGATAATATGGTACAATAAACTGCATGTAGCTACCAGTTCACTATGCATCAAAATTAAAGTCAGATTATTTTAACATGCTCAGATAAAATGTTAATAAAGAGTATATTGCATTGTCATGTATTCTTGTTCATAGGTGATTGTGAAGTTGCCATTTGCGGCGGTGTCAACAGTATTCTCTATCCGGATATATTTGTTCCGCTTAGTAAGGCACGGATGGTATCACCTACTGGACAGTGTCAGGCGTTTTCTGATAAGGCCGATGGCTACGCCAGAGGAGAGGGATGTGGAATCGTCATATTGAAAACAAAGAAACAGGTACGTAAACATTCACATAATAAGTTTGTTAGGCAAGTTGTGGTATTTCTAATTGTTCAGATATCGACTAAAAGTCAATATGATATTGAATTTAACTGTCAATCTAAGTAATTCAAAGTTCTATTTTCATAAATACGATAGGCTTTGCTTGACGGAAATAAAATATGGGCGGCCATAGCAACAGGGTGTAACCAAGACGGGCGAACGACGACTCCTATCACAGCGCCATCTAGCATCCAACAGCGAAATCTGCTGCTGAAAGTGTATTCTGAAACTGGAGTCAATCCGGAGGACGTTCAGTACATAGAAGCACATGGTAGGAACGAGTATTCTTTATATTTGATTGCCGGTTATATTTCATTTTCAATAATAAATCTTCATTCTGTATTAGCAAAATGAGTTGTTGTCTTGACTTGATAGACCTGACCTAGCATTGCGACGATAAGGTATTCACACGTCTAAGTTAGCGATACTAATGTTGGAGCAGTCAAGTTGTATCCTTATTAAGACTTTTTTGTTAATCGATTTCGAAAATATATGGTTATCGATTACAATAAATGGTTCGTTAGTTAAATTTTTAAAAAATGATCAATTTCGTATATTTTATCAAAACAATCATTGATTATAGGCACAGGGACTCCAGTAGGTGACCCCATTGAAACCAACACACTTGGCAAGTTTTTTGCTGAGAAAGCTCCAGTAGATGACCATCAAGATAACATCCTGCTTGGGTCGGTAAAGACAAACATTGGTCACCTCGAATCAGCAGCTGGAGCAGCTGGATTGATCAAAGTCCTCTTGATGATGACGCACGGTAAGATTGTTCCTTCCCTTCACTTTGAAAAAGCAAATCCGAATATCGACTTTGACAGTTATCGTTTAGAAGTTGCACGGCAAATATCACCATGGCCGTGTCTCACTCAAGGAGGAGGAAGGCTCTCGTGTGTAAACTCGTTTGGATTTGGAGGGACAAACAGTCACGCCATAGTAAAGCAGTACTCTGACGTAGTCTTCGGTGAAAAGACGAAAACTATAAAAGAAAAACACATCATCGCTGTTTCTGCTACTGATCTCAAATCTCTAGAAAAAAACTTAATCCATTTGAAACAAAATATACACAAAGCCAAATACTGCATAGAAGACATATCGTATACTTCAACATGTAGACGAGATCACTACACATACCGCGTTGCTTTACATGGAAACACCAAAGAAGACATTGCTAGAAATTGCAAAGAACAGCTTCAACAACTTCAATCACTTAAACCACCAGGCTTCTCCAAACCAAATGTAGTCTTCGTCTTCTGTGGAGTAGGCACCACGTGGAGGGGGATGTGTCAAGAACTATTGAACTATTGAAGAAAGAAGACATGTTCAAAGACACTGTAGATAGACTCCTGACGCCTTTAGCCGGATGGTCAATATTCCAAACGCTCATTGACGGGTTTGAGATCACTGACCCATTGAAGAGTCACCTGGCGATTTTTACCTGTCAGGTAGCACTGACAAAACTTTGGAACCACTTCGGAATAAAACCGGACGTCATTGTTGGACAATCAGTAGGGGAGGTAGCAGCAGCGTACGCAGCTGGGGTCTTGTCACTAGAAGATGCAGTCAAGGTAATATATGAACGATCAAGTTTACTAGCAAAAGCGACAGGAGGAACAATGTGTGTAGTTGGCAACTGTTACGTGTCAATTGTAGCTGCCGCTTGCAAGAAATTTAAGGGGAAAGTCAGCATCGCTGTTCACAGTAGTGAAAAGGCATGCACACTATCCGGTGATAGAGACGCCATTGAGGAAATCAAACAACTTCTGGGGGAAAAAAGCAAAGACAAACTTTTCCTGCGTCAACTTAATGTGCAATGTGCCTATCACAGTCAACACATGCAAGCAGCCAGTGAACAGTTAGAATGCAATCTTATTGGACTTGAGGGATCCACACCAGCATGCACATTGATTTCAACAGTCACAGGCGAAAGAGCGGGTACACAGGATTTTGCTTCCCCAGAATATTGGGGGGAAAACGTAAGACAACCGGTCTTATTCCATCATGCCATAACTAAGGCACAGTCGGAGAAAACCTTCAATGTTTACCTGGAAATAGGACCGCGACCAATTCTGCGTTCTCATCTCGGAGACATCGTAGGCAGTGGTAATGCTACAACATTGCCATCTATGACAGAAAATAAAGAATGGGACATGCTGCAACTCTCCCTGATGGAACTTTACAGACACGGCATCGATCCACAATGGCCACACGTTGTCAATGAAGGCAATCTGACTGACATTCCAAAATGTTTATTCAATCCTATCAAGTTGCTTTTCGAATCAGATGCCACTAATTTGAGATACGGCGGAGTCCAATCCACTCAGTCAAGCCATCTTTTTGTTGAGAGAGCGGGTAGAGATGGTATGCAATTCAAAATCAATATATCTCCTACAACAACCTGGTTTCTGTACGAACACGTTGTTTCTGGCACGATCATGGTCCCTGGTGCGTTTTATATCGATGTGGCGTTAGAAGTTTGTAAAGAGTTAGCCAAGAAACGAAGCCAAAAAAATCTAAGTATCGCAGCACAATTCATACAACCACTTCGCTTAAGCAAAGGAGAGGCGTGTAAAGCGGAAGCATCCGTTGAACAATTTGAGGATGAATTGTCAATACATATATACAAAAATAATGAAACAGTCGCCAAATGTCAAATTAACAAGGTCAAGGAAAACCCTTTAGAAACTGTCGACTTAGAAGCGATTAGGAGAAGATGTACAGTCCGTCAGACGGCGTCACAAACCTACCAGAATCTCAAAAGACTTGGATTTGCTTATGGCAAAGACTTGAAAATTTTGGGAGACTGTTTGAAATCCGAGGACGAATGTCTTGTCAACATGACACTGTCGGATACAATTTTCACTGACATTAGCTCTACACACTTGCATCCGTCAATATTGGATGGTCTTTTGCAAACACCGGGGGTTCTGAATGTAAAAGTCGACGTCGGTACTACACTTCTACCAGGTGGAATTGAAAGTATCATCACACGCCTACCCCCAGAAAGAAAAATGCTTGCTTTCGCCTCATTGGTATCCCAAACAAAGGACAAACTCCGATACAACGCTCTGCTTTTGACTGAAGATGGAAGAGTTGTTGCAGAAGTGAGAAACTTCTTCATTCTTTGTATTGGAGCCAACAATAAGGATGAGCAGGACAGTATGTATCAGATCCGATGGGAGGAAATAGGAAAGAGAGCTGTACTGACAGATAACCAAAGCTCCAACGAAGAACATCTCATATCTGTCGTCATCTCTCTTGACAAAAATGACACGGAGAAACTTGGCTCGAAGATTGTACATCTATCACCCAACGAAAAATATTTCGAAAAAGTGTTGACACATCATTTAAAAATGGCAGAACACCCCGCTGGATCGATTATTTTGTCAGTGGACAAAGAAGAAAATCTAGATAAATTTACCGGAGAAGAAGTGATGCAAAGGGTGGCTGGAAACGCTTCCACTCTCCTACACATTTGCCAGCTACTTGTAAAACTGAACAGTGACATACCAGTACTAATCATTACTGAAGAAACCCAATCAGTTGATAAATCTCACACCTTTGTGGAAAATGTCATAGGATCTGAGTTATGGGGCATGGCCAGGACAATAGTGCTCGAATATCCTTTACAGCTTACTTTGATTGACAGACATGTTCCTCTTCATCTTTGCAGTTCTATCATCAGGGAACTACTAGTTCTCCGAGCTTCCCATCTTTCTTCAGAGGCTGAACTCTTAGTCACAGGAAGCACAGTGTACTGTAACCGAATGATAAGAATACAAGAGCAGCCGGGAGAATACAGATGGATTTCCCTCAAGAAATCAGACCAAGTACATCTAAAATCCTATCATCCAGATGATGTAAAGGGGAAATTTTGTTTACTGCAGGAGGTTGAAACAATTCAACACAGAATACTTATGGAAGTTGATACAGCTGTTATGCACGACAAGTCAATGTTTCCGTTGACAGTACAATCTGCAGAAAATGACGTTCCAATTTGGACAAACGAGAAGGAAGATGGGTTCGACATAATTACATTCGAGGTCTCTGGCAGAGTAGCTTTACATTCGTATGAAAAATTGAATGTTCAACCAAAACAATTAGAAGGATCATTTGTTGCCTGCTCTCCATTCACCATACAAAGTACTGTTGAGGTGCCGAAAGATTGCATGATGAGAATTGACGATCTCCCAAGTTACAGACCAGGAATGCTACGGTTATCTGCTCTCTTATGGCAGATGAAAGACCATATCAAAAGAGGAAAAACCCTTATTTTGACCGATTCCGATAGCACTTCCGGGCAAATTCTACAATCAATGCTCTCAAAACCGCTGGCAAGTCAAGTCGTTTTTGTCACGCTGGACAGTTTACAGAATTCTGCCTCTCATCAACTATGTGCTGCTTCCATTGTGATTCTCACAGCAGTAGATTCCGTGAAACTTGATAACCTTTTGACCCGAGTAAAAGGCGTGCATACATTGAATTCGCTCGAAATGTTTGCGACAAGACACTCCTGGCAATCTGCAAAGAAGAAGCATGAGTCCATTTCATTCAAATTATTGAAAAATGAGGAGTTACTGAACAGAAAGGTTCTCAGTGAGACTGTTCCCAAAGTTGCAAGATGGCTGCGGAGGAAAATATCCAAGATTAACTTTCCAGAGGAGGTAAACACAGATACAACTGTGGTGCAGTTGATATCAACAAAACAGCAGGACAAGCTAGTGAAAGTAACAAAGAAACAACTTTTCCGGAAAAGCAGTTGCTACGTCATAGTTGGTGGATTGACAGGACTAGGATGGGAAATTGTCCAATTCCTTGCCAAGGCTGGTGCCGGAAGCATCGTAACACTATCAAGATCACACTCAAACACTACGCAAATTAAAGAAATATCAAAGCTGGAGAAAACGACTTCGACGTCAATAAAGGTAATGTCGGCAGACATTACCAATATCAAATCACTGGAGAAAGCATTCGACAGAATTGATGTTGAATTTGGACGCAATGCTGTTCAAGGCATATTTCATGGCGGAGCTGTTTTAAATGACGGATTCTTCACAAAACAAACAGACGCTAACTTCATAAAGGTATTGCTTCCCAAAGTACTCGGAAGCTGGAATCTTCATGTAGTTTCAAAAAGGTATGATCTTGACTTTTTCATTTTGCATTCCTCCATGACATCTATTTTTGGAAACAAAGGACAAAGCAACTACAGTGCCGGAAACGCCTTTATGGACTCACTAGCACATTACAGAGCTAGGAACGGGTTACCTGGTTTGAGTATAAACTGGGGACCGTTGGCTGTTGGAATGGCCAAAGACAATGCTCTTCAAAAAGAACTAGAGAGAATTGGATATATGTATCTTGATGTTAAAGGAATTCTAGACACACTTGAAAAAATGCTCATGCTGAAAGGAAATCAGGTAGTCGCTGGAATATTCGATTGGTCATTGGTAGAACGACAATTCACAGATTTGTCTATGGAAAGAGTGAGAAGAAGATTTCGGCGTGTGATGGGTAACGACAGTAGCAGAAATATGCAGACGATGTCGGTGGACAATTTTGGTACTCATGACTTAAAGACCACAGAAGGAATCACTGACTTTGTGATAGAGGTAGCATCACGGGTGTTCGCGGTAGACGCCGATATGATCAACAGCTCGACTTCGATGATGCATCTTGGAATAGATTCCATGGTAGCCATGACCTTTGTGAACACCATCAGTGGTGCCACAAACTGTTCAATTCCTATTGTATTACTACTATCTGATGAAACAACTATTGGAAAAGTAGTTGACTACATAGAAGCAAACATGAAGACAACGACCGTCATGGATAGGATAGACGTAGATTCAACATTTACAGACGGCCTCACACATATGGAAAAAGAATATTTTAAAGATATCACTGTCAATCCTGAAGCACCGGGTCTCTTCATCTATGTGGACTTTGAAGTATCTGGAAGATTTGCTGACCAAGATTTTTGGAGAGCTACTCTAAAAAATGTTGTGCAGAAACATCCCGCGTTGAGAACCCGTTTCGTAAAGAGTACAGACAGCCAAGGGAACCGTATTTACACCAGAGTGGTAACGCCAGCTGAAGATATTGTACCAGACGTAAGAGTAGTGAAAAAAGGGGAAATGAACAAAACCAAGCAGATACCACCGGATTTAGAAATGTATAAGTTCGACCCAGAATCTGACCTACCACTGCGTTTGTTATATGAAGACACAAAAGAATTATCGTTTATTCGAATTGTGTTTTCACATCTGACGTTTGATATGACTTCTACACTTTTAGTTCTTGAAGATATGGATTCGAAAATACCAGTTCCACTGCCTCAAGATATAACCAAACAGGTGAATGCACATCTACAGGAAGAGATGACAACGTTAGAAACATACTGGAAAAACAGTATACCCGACAGATTGCTACCCATAACATTCGCTGACAACTCCGAGAGTTATCACTATGATGAAGAGACCATATCCACAGTTTCAGACCATGTACCGCAGCAATCCTTGACCAGACTTGTACAATTTTGTCGAAACAACGGAATCACTCCATTTCAATTGATGGCGACAGCATACCAGATTCTTCTCCATCTGCAAATTGGCGTGGTAACTGCTTGTATTCTTACCTTTGCCGATATGCGTATGCATTTTCCGCATCTTCAACGGGAACTGGGCTGCATGGTAAACAAAGTGCCGTTATTCTTGACACCCAACAAAGATGTTTTAATCGGTGAACTATTGACAGAGAACGGAAAAGAAATTCGAGACAGAATGAATAGCAGTTTGTATCCCTTTGACAAAATAGTGCAAGAGGTTTCAGCAAGACAAGTTCAGCCGGCTTCTGTGTTCAGACACATGATCATTTACAGAGATATCCAGAAAGAGAACACAAAGGAACAAGATGGATATGTGAATGTGTTAAACGTTGTGTCTCCAAACCACAGACATGAGACAAGTCTCATTGTGTGGAACTATCGCAACACCATGACCATGAGTTTGGAGCTTGAATACAATACATTAGCAATCACCAAATCTAAGGCAGAATTCCTATTGCATTCGTTGATCAAGATATCAGAATATCTGATCGATCAACCTGAATCCACTTTCACGGAAATGACAAATGTGATCGAGCGTACCTCTCTCCTTTCAACAAAATCTGGTGATGCGGACACAAGAGCATTTGCTTCCGAGTCACTGAATCCATTACATCTCCTCGAAATCCATGAAATCATATCAGGTAATTTCACTTGTTTTCTGTAATTTCATCTTACCTTATTTTGTTCATGTTTAAGGGAAATTAGGATATCTAGTTGCGTATCTTTGTTGATTTAACTATTTATTGCGAATAAATTGTGAACTTTGAATCACTGAATTGAATAAATTTGAATAATTAAATTGAAGAACTTTTTTTAAATGCATAAAATTAAGTGATTTTCCGCACCTCCCATTCTGTGTCAACGTCATTTGAGACCGATTGAGATTATCAATATTTTGGATCCGTACATCACCAATTAGTTCTAGAAAGACGAAACAGTTATATGATGCAGTGTTTATTATTTCTGGAATACTGTATCTATTACCAAACTTTAAAGATGCAATCACATGTCTGTTTCTTACGCTCATACCCAGAATGTGATAGATCGAACAATACTAAGAGAGTGATATGGATAAGTATTGATGTTCTACCTTATTCCTTTCAATCCTGTGTGCTTTACGAAGACTATATCATGCATTGATTTGGATGAGTCCAGTATTGTCTACTGTGGTGAAAGGATATAATATCATTTCTACTTCATGCAGGTGAATTTATCAAGCAAACAAGAAATGGATGGACCCACCCTGTCAAGCTATCAGTGTGTAGCAGAAACGAGGCCGACGGTTCCCATACGGTACTCAAATGGGAGAAACCGAACAATAAACGCTCACGAAACCTGGATGTTGAGGACATAAATTCGGTTGAAAGAACCATTTGCAATGGTACGTTTCCTTATATAATGATGTTATGCTATATCAGACAAACTTATCTTATAGCCACTGTAATGCGTGTTGCAAAACCACCAAAGCATTTGCTTTGACTTGTATTGCTTAAACATCAATCTGTATTCTATTCTATCATACAATTCATATCCAAACTCTAAACCGTGTGATATCGACTGGTGACAAAACAAAACAAATATCATAGAAAATAATTTATATATTCAATATTAATATTCACAAATCACGTCTTACCATTAGATTAAACAATACAAGGTTCTTGTAATATGTATTAAGATGTAAACGTTCAGATGCAATGTATCCAGCTTGATGAGTTAATTGACATATGAAATCAACAAGTAACTGTAACACCTTGGTGTTTTCACAATTCCTAGAATTGAAATAAGATTTATATGACATGCGGAATTGCACTGATTTTAAACATTGTATTTACAAATACACATTTTCTTTCTTCTTTCATTTTTTAAACATGGTTTGATTCGACAAATCGATTTAATAAATAGGTGCAGTAGCATTTTCTATACCCAAATTTAATTGACCCTATGCCTTTTTCATATTCAAAGGATTACATTACACCATTATTTTTAATACTTTTTTTTTCTTTTCATGTTTTTGAAACATTCCTTATCATAAGAAATTTCTAGTGATTATGGATAAAGAGAAATAAATATATTGCAAATACAATGTACTGTATATTACTCGAATTATACAGCATGTTGTAGGCTAATAGAGAATTGATTTTTAGACTTTCTTATACCTTATAGGATTGCAGACGTTGCTGGTGGGGACAGGAAAGAGGCGCTACACCTTTATGACGTCAGATAAACAATTGTATGATCGAATGACGGGCTGCTTACTGGATGGATTGAAGCAAAATGGACACAACGACTTCCAAACAAGTTTGTGACAATATCTCATTGTGAAGAAAACGAAGTGATATCAATTCGCTCGATCAATGTACAAGCTGGAGATTTGATATCGCACGTTTACATCTTAAGTGTTTATTACATATGAACTATCATTTATTATTGGCAACTTACATTTTTAAGTGTGATGACTTGTATGAAACAACATTATCCTCTCCGTGAAATATTTTCTCTTATTGTTCTATCTTGCATGCATCATGGATATATGTTTCAAGGATCCAGATATGTAGATATCCGTTTTCGTATATATCATAATGTATAATAATGAAATTTATAACTTTTTAACATGTAAGTTCACGTAAAGCAATGTCTACGGTAGTCAGACCGTTCTTTAATCCCTCTGTCAGACAGAGTTTTGTGTCTTCCTCGAAAACGAATATTACTTTTCCTTGCGTGTAAATATTAAAATATTTTTTGTATTACAAAGGTGAGTTCAGGAAAATAGGACAAGTTGAGATGTACACATTTCCGTTATCACATGTAATGTTATGATTGATTAACAAAAACAGAAATCACGTTTTAAATCATTTCGAACACATTTTTTAACAGTTATAGACTTACTGATTTTCTATATTTGAATGTTTAAAATGGTTTTGATTGTTGTCAATTATAGTTTTGAAACTGTTAAATCAATTATTGGTGACATAGCAAATGACAAAAACAAAGAATGCAAGATTGAATACAGAAACGAATCAAAAGAAAAATTGTTAATTTCAGCTCTCAACATATTTTTTGTTAGATTTGTTATGTTGTTTCAACTATTCATATATACCTCAATTGAAACAAATTTACCAATCAGCATATGATATATTAAACAGAATTTTTCTTTACGATTTGCAACATGTACCATGTTAATCAGACATTTTTTCACCATTTATATGTCAATATTATGTTATGTTTCATTTACAAAATGCAACATTCTATAGAATTTTAATAGTACACTACATTTCTGTACGTCAACAAATACTATTATGATGTCATATTAATGTGAGAAATGATGCAAGAAAATGTTTATTAGCATATTGAAAATAGTAGTGATATAGGTCTTTACCATGCACATTATTTTCACTCTTAGCTAGTGTTTCGGGTCACGTAGTCGGAAAGTAATATACTTTTGCGCGCTTGTGTATTTTACAATACATAAGCTATGGCAAGTATCTAATGTAAGAGTGCATAGTACAATGTAGGTTGGTTTTCATAATCTGCCTTCAAGATTTGCTTTGTGTAGCCATGAAAAAAGTACTGACAAAAGACTTATTGTGTAATCTGCAGTTTTTCTGAACAAGTAAAAAGTATATCTTATTGAAACAGTTAAAGTTAAACTTCATGAACCTGCACTTTCTGAACCACCTTATCACCACATAAAAAAGATTTTTGCTGATGGTGAGCATTTTAGCCAGTGCGAGTCCTTCTGGTAATCCTTATTTTAATCCTGTTCACAGACCTGTTTTAATGGGTTTTTTTCCATTTTCTATTTTTGTACCTGATACTGACCCATTGTGAGGTTAATTCTTTCTTTGATCTAAATTGACTGCAAAAGTGTTCGATTTATTCTGTTCCTATCATAGTATCAATAAAACGCAGTCTTGGCTACATGATTCACACTTCAGTCGATTACGTGTACGCTCGTAGATTCGATTTAACCTCATATCTAACAAAGGAACTTCTTTCCCTTGATATCACATATTATAGCGTATTTATTCATACTTATACAGCCAGTTTAACTTTCGTATATATACTATTTTAAAAATGAAATATGTATAGCGTTTTTGTGATTCAAGCTTATTGAAAATCAATTTTGCCTGTAAATAAACTGTGACAGGATATTTACATACTTATAATTTCAAGTCTATTGGATTATTCTTATTAGTGCGATATGTTATTCCTTTGGATATGCAGAGATATATGTATATGAACTTTATTTGACCTTTTTCCTTGTACCCCACTGAACATGTACCATTTTGCAAAAATTACGAAAAGATAATTACTGTAAATATATTAATGAAATTTATACATCTTTTATACATGACAATTGTCATATACTATGATCACAATCGAGTTAAAGTGATACATCACTAAATCAATACATAGATACGATGTATATTATCTATACTTTATTGCATGCAGATCTCTTTTCTTCATTGTTTTTAAATTGTATTTACATATTTTAGTCCACTCGCGTCATTTTTAATGATAATGTTTTATTAAAGATGAGTTAACAGTACGGATTTAGCCGTTTAACTCTACTCCATTTTTTTCTATTCAACGCAATTTCAAATAGATTTTATCTTCAATGTTACACGCCATTACGATCTGCAGAATAGTTACCGAACAATGGGGAAATTTTGAGGAGCTTTACTTCGGCGATTTGGCGGGTCCACATCTAGATCGCCAAATGTTAATCGCAAAAGTTCCAAACAGCCAAAGAAAATGTCGCTAATATATCTCACTACGCTATGATTCGTTATTCGTATACATAAGTAAATATATTGAGGAATAATCTAAGAGTAATACAAATATTTTAAAATATGTTTGGTAAATTTTCAAAAATGTAAGAGTTCAACTATTTAACATTCATCTAAAGGTTATTAATGGTAGACAGTTATTTTTCCATGTAGTGTGAGTTATGTACATCGAACGGTGTTTGATATAGATTTAAACAGTAATTTGATACATTGTATGGTTAACTAAGACCCCGGTGACCAATCGATCTTTTCTTTTAATATTTGCACAAATAATATAATAAAAGAAGTTATCCGAATGTGAACTGCTATCATGAAACCTGTTTTAAGTTTAACTCATTTTAATACATGCACGTAGTACATGCACCGTTTCAATCAAATTCTTGTATTCGTCTTTTTTGTTGAAATATGACAGGAACGAATTACAACGGGTGCAATAATCATATAATATTAATGTTACTGTCATCCTTATAAGAAATGAATAATCATAATTTATCATCTGAAACGTCATTAAATTGACAAATAACACAATTCTTTATGTTTTCTTTATAATGAATTATTGTCGAAACTAAGGTAAAACCCATGTTTAAAAATCCCCTTATCAGAAACTTGTTAGTCCATGTCCGCAATGTTCAATACAAAAACTCTTCCAGAGTTAGTCCATTCCCTGGTTGTACATTTAATTAAAGCGTACGGTGACGTTATGGTGTTATCAATCGGTTCGGAGAAAGGTCGTGTTTATAAACCATAAATTAATGATAAAAGGAATGCCATGTCAGAACCTTTGGTGTGGGATTGCATATCTGATAAAGCTGGCGTTCAGGATGTGGGTTTTCCCCACATTCACCTTGTGTGAGTAATAAAGCTATTTTTCCTTTACAAGGTAAACTATGGACACTCCGAGCTAACGTCCTGGGTCGTGTACGAGGAAGGTTATGGGCTATTGAATGGGGTATCATTTACATGTGTATAGGTTTGGTCTACATATTTTTTCTTCATTATCTAATTTATGTAGCTGATTGAACAATACCAATTCGCGATTTCCAGTTTTATTATCTGATGTTTTAAATTGGCAACCTTACATTATCAGATCAATCTTGTCAAAAGATAGAAAACATTTTTTTTTTTAATTAAAACAACTTTTGTTAAATTGTGAATTTTAAGATTTCATTTCGGTTGATAAAACATGCAAATATATATTGTTTATATATACCTGTATAGTAACAAGATTACTAAAACAAACCACACATTTTGCAAAACCAAAAGTTGTATTTGTTTATGAATTGATACCTGTTTCTCGACAAGGAATCTACAAATTTCAACATAAAAACAGTCTTTGGTGCGATAATCAAATTAAAAGTCATTACTTTGATTCCCTGGTTTACACATTTAAAGGCCGTGATAGTAGATCTTGTCCAAGAGTCACCATGAATATAATAGAATTTGTGAAGGTTGAACGTTTGGTTTTGCTTACAAAAACTGTAAACTTTGTAAATCTTTTATAATTTGTTGATAGATGTGTACCAATTAATTATACTTTATGATTTATAATAAAACGTTGATTGCATGTATAATTGTCTATGTTGTTTATCTTGTAGTTTCACTATATAAAGGGTCATAAAGCACAGCGAGCAAAACGTTTCGGTTTGACGTTTCGATGACTATAGTACGTGATCTGTCGCCTTTATCAGATAAATGGATATTAACCATTTGTCTGATGATGGTGACACATTACATATTACATATGTATATACTATTTATCGAAACGTGTCACATTTAAGTATTTCGATATTTTGTTTTATGAACCTGTATATAACCTTTACTTACCAAAATGAAGTTAATGTTTAGAACATTCCAATTCCCGTTTTCTTTAGTATAACGAGTCTTAGACCAAAAGGGGCCGATGTGCACAATGTCATGTTTGTGTATTCAAGTTAGCGATTATATAAAAAAAAAAATGTATTTTTAGACAACGTTTTGTTGGCTTTATGGATAAAGAAATATTGATGCATAGAAATTCCCCTTTCAGTGATTGTTGGTTATCATGTTTATCTAATTCGATTAAGATAATTTTCAAATTGTACAAAGACACATTTTGAAAATTAACTAACTTGAAGTAGATAAACATGATATCCAACCATCACCAGTTTTGGGACCTTTTTCTCCCTCAACGTTCTTACATTCTATCTAGAAGTCCATGTTTCTCTGAAAAACACATTATTCCTTTTCGGTCAGGGAACAATTGCCATGGAACTATGACGTCACGATGGAAGATGACGGCCAAACGCAGTGTTACTTGACGCTGATCAATGACCAATGAAATAACGTTCAGGTTGTTACCCACAAGATAGTAACAGTATTGTATTACCAGACAACTAGCAGATTTATCGAATGAATCGGTAGTGGGTGAACCCATTGTTGTTGTACATGTAGGAGGGTTCAATTTCCTATATACTGTAAAAGCATAAGATTTCGTTGGGAATTTAAATTCGTTTATTTCATGGTTTCATAAAAACCGCGAAATATAATCCCAGCAAAATTTTAAACACACGAATTATAAACTAAACGAAAATATTAAATGAACTATTGATTTTTATTACAAATCCATGGTGTGTTTACACTTAGACACAAGTCAGGATTAACGGTGTTATCATCATCACAGACACAGAAGTAGACACTTATGACAACAGCGTGTCAATCAAGCGTTATATTTGTATATAAGCTATAGAGCTACATTGTATAGAGACGGATTTGACTGATACCCATCGAGTTAGTAAAATTCGCCCAATCTTACCTGTACTATTTTTACCTGCACTGTGTCGTCACGCTTATCAATTTAAACTTCTTACCAGGAAAATACAGGGTTTGAAAATATTGATTCCGAGAAATATAATCCCAATTGAATTGTCCCCATACAAAAACAATGAAATCTAACCCCAACAAAAATAATATTTTTACAGTAGGTAGTATATTGTTCACACTGAATACAAATTTCCATTCTATGGATGCATAAATCAAACAAATGAACAAACAATGTAAACAGCTTAAACGAGAAAATAAATATACTATGTTTCCTTAAGGAAGTGCATTCAATTGAAACAAGCTCATAACGAGCAAACTTTAGTATCTCGGCTTATTTCATTACTTTGATATATACATTAGTTTTTTAATTGGAAAAAAGCGATTGGTAAATGTAAAAGAATTCCAGAATAATTTTAGCCAACATTTTTAAAATGTGACATTCCATTCTTATTTTCGCTAGTCTGAGCACTATTTCATATTCATAATTGAATATTGTCATTCTTTCTGATGCTAACAAACAGGTGTCCATAATTCAGATTTTGTTAGGTCTCGTAAACATTCTTGTCAATTTTAACATGATGATGATGATGATGATGATGATGATGATGACTGCGAGGAGGAGGAGAATTCATTCATAAAAACTGTCGTGAAAAAAATAACATCACACGGCTCTGTCTCAAAATTGTTGTTTATAACTTTTTAAAACATGTATCCTTAAAACAAACAATTTTTACACCTTTATGGATACTCTGCGTTTAAATGAACAATTTCAATTACTTACAATCTTCTAATGGGTCCCTACAATGAACATATTTAAAAAGGTGGCGTCAGTTTATACTCAATTTTATTTGACTGCGTGTGTTTATAGAGACAGTTTTTAGCACGTGTGTTTGGAAGGTTGAAACATATCAGTATTCATATATAATCACCACAGGCTGTTCCCTGCTAGTTTAGGAACCTGATATTGTGTTGATAAATACAATATAGAACACGATATCTAAAAATTGACAAATTTGAAAATACTGAGCACAAATTATATCAACTTACCTCAAATTCAGCGTATCAACATTCGTATTTTATTTGCGTGACACACATATCCGTACGCCTCTGTGAGGTGCACACTTACCTATCTGAACACTTATTTCACCTGATAACACGAGCAAATACACAGGTAAGACGTCATTTTACAATATTGCGAAAGTCATCGTTGTATGTATCACGTCCGATCTGATTTGAGCGCACAATTATGCTACATAGATGAACATTATTACGAATGAAAAATAGTCAATCGACAAGTCTATATAAAGGACATAAGTTTACTTTATTATTCTAAACAACGCAATGAACACATTACATACACGGACCATCAAAACATGCAGACGCCTCAATAGTTTTATTATAAATTGTGTATCCATACACTGAGAGCTGTTTATCGTTTATAATCTGAAATTTTATAACTCGAAACATTCTAAAAGCAATATAAAATTCATCTTTTTATGAGAGTCAGAATCAGGAAAAATTTAAGGATTATATGAAACTGATAATGATAAAAACATGACTGAAAGCTTTATTCTATGATAATAGTCGTTTGAACTTTTTTACCAATTGGACCCAATCGATCTTAATATATAAGGTCATTTTTCAAAATGTTCTTGATAGCCCGTTGGTACAGTTAAATATAATAAATCTAAGACTAAAATTACAATATAACACATTTCTTCAATCTTTATCAGCTTGAACGTGATTCAATGCTTTTTATGTGAAAAATAATTTACAGTTGTTTGTTGAAATAAGAAAGATGGTAATATCATTACTCCATACATCTTGTTTTATGATATAATATCGTTTGAAGAGATCAATACCTTGGACGATAACTATTTGTCAAGCTATTCAGTTTAACAATAAATCAACAAAACAAAATTTCATACAAAAAATCCATACTAAATAGTCTTTGACCCTAACAGACAACTGACTCCCATACCTTGAATATCGGTCAAGATATGTATTTATACAATGTTGATGGCAGTTTTCTTTACAAAGCTACATTGACATTTTTTTATGCTATTTCTTCCTTTTTTGGCAAGTCACATATACATTTAAACACTACTGACCTTATACACACGAATACAACGCGTTATCTTTCTAATTGCTCCACCACGCAACTGTTCAAACGTCTGACTACCATTCTTAGCATAAAGTATGAAAAAAAGAAACCATGAGACTAAAGTATTTTCTGGTCTATACAAAGTTCCTGAGGTCAGTGGCAAGAATATCCAGAACATTGATTGAATTCCTATGTGAAACAAACTGTGACCCTCTCCTGGCCAACTTGTTTTTACTTTAATAAAATACTGAATAGATTGTGAAAAGTCTAATAGGGATGGAGACAAACTCATTGGCAAGTCCTTCAATTCCACTTTCAGATAATAACTTCCTTCACATGAAATCAACGGAAACTTTACTGTTAAGCTCCCCCACTATAAACTACTATATTTTTGAGAAAAAGAGGATAATATTTCTTCAACAGATTTCTCAGAATATAATATCTCCAGTGGTACATTTCGACTGATAGTGGACAAACATATCACACAGGGATTCGAGACATACAGGTAAAGTATTTTTGACAGGATTTACGGTTGCTATCAAGAACTCATTGGAAATAATCTTTTGTTGGTACTTTGTGTGTGATATCCAGGTCGATGTTTTCGATTATGTTCATTCGTGTGATTTGTAGTTCACTTGTCTCTACCCGACGTGTGTCGTTGATAGAACAAACGATACGTATTCTTCTTGGACAACTGGCCTCGTACTCCTTGTACAATTTTAATCTTTTTCTTTTACATACATACATACATACATACATACATACATACATGCAATTGTTCAAAATGAAGTCGTTGTCTTTGTCGATATTGTAATAACAAATATTTCATATTAATAGTAAAAGTGACCTTGACGTTAGATCATACGACCTGTTCTCAAACTGGACTATTGTTTGGAACTTGAAAAAAAATAAGATATAGAAAAAAGTTGCTAAAGAGAAGAAATTTTTTTTATTATTAGAAAAAGTTCACTTGACCTTGTTACTTTGCAAAACAGAAATCGAACTTTTTCGAGGTATTATCATCAGTTCTGCGCATATATACAAACTGATCGCCGTATCATCTCAAAAACCCGGTCACAAGGATATCAAATATTTCATCTTGACAAAATAGATGAATGATTGATACTTCAGGGTATATTACTTATTTAACGTAATAATCTGTATTTCTAAATTCACATGAAACGTTTATTTTTGTATGTTAAGGGTGTTTTAACAATTATAGAATGAGCAATATTTTTCATAAATCGTTATTAATAACCTTGACTGTTAGAAAATGAAATTTATAACGAATAAACATTGCAGAGTCATCGAGGCGGCATTAGTTTACCTTGAAGTCGGCTCTTTATTAAGTCGTGTAGATAGTGCTGTGTTTAGAAATCCCTCATCATCCTACAAACAAGAGGGCAACAGAGAATAGACAGATTTTGATTGGCCTGGTGAGCTTTAATTTATGACAGGAAACCCATGCTTCATTGTAATGTAAGTACTCTCCTGTCGATGAATGCATACCTATCTGTGGATAATTTGATATTTGTACAACCAGGAGGAGCTACAATGTAGGCAGGTCATGTAATACACATTCCAGACAGGTAACTTTCCACTTTTCATCATAAAAACAAATGTTGAAAGATCAAACAGACGATTGATGTGTTTGGTATTATTTCTAAGCAACTGAACTCTTTATAAACAACAAAGCTTTAAGTTAAATTTAGATCTGGTAATAATCATGTGTAGGAATTTAAATGTTCTGTGTAATGTCTGAAATGTACACAAAGGGAGGGGTTACACATGTATGCCAGGTATCAATCACTTTGATAAGATCACTTACCATAAAACGCTAACGTTGTGTACAACACCGCATACACCTGTGTGGTCTGAAGGAGATCACAGTACACATGTTCAAGCATTTGTAAGTATGCATGATTTATTTTGCCATTTCTTTCAATCATAATGACGATTTAAAAAAACATTCTGCTTAATCGTTCAAATATGCTCCGAATGTTATTCATTTGTCACTATTTATAGTTTTTTTATTAATTTGTTTTGCTGATTTACTAAAATATGCACTTATGTTTAAAAAATAATATAAGCTATAATACTAATACGAAAAATGCAATGGCCTTTCAAAAACAAATTATCATCTCTAATTTTTCATTATTTTTTAATTGATCTAATAATCTTTTTTTATTATTTATTTCTTATTTTTACAGCATTTAAATGAATTTTACAAGATAAGTCGAGCTAAAACTTTTGAGAGCTATGCTGGGTTTCTTTTATTAAAAATTTACCTTTTTATATATTTCTTACCTTTCCATCGATTAAAATAAATTTCACAAGAAATGTAGAAATCAATTCCTGCGATTTCGTTTTATTATTTAAAAAAAACACTAATTGATTTATTTCTTACTTTTACAGCGATTAAAATGAATTTCTCAAGAAAAGTCGAGGACAAAATTTCGAGCGTTTTCGCTAGTTACGGAAGAGCCTTGGCTATATACCCATGTACTGCAATTATAACATGCGTCCTGCTTAACGGACTTCTCGGTGTTAACATCCAGTGGATGACATCAGATTCTGATATAGTGAGAGTTTATACACCAAGCAACAGCCAGGCAGACCAGGATAGAGACCAACTTGTGTCCGTTTTTCCGGATTCCTCGGGAATAAACTTCTATAGACAAAGCATGGATAATCTTGGCTTATTTGGAGAATTAATCATTATACCTCGTGATGGGATGAATGTTCTGGATAGAAAATATCAAAGGGATATCGAAAATATCGTTGAAACGGTACGGGCTACGTTCGTTACAGATATTGACGATACGACATTTAAATATGACGATCTTTGTGCAAGGCGAAATGACAGATGCGTCATTGATGGTGATTTTCTATTGGGGTCTGTATTTTGGGGAAAACTGGAAAACGGGGGCATCACGAGAAGGATATTTGAACAAGAGGGCTATTCCCTTGTGATAGGACCCCCAACATTTGTGAATGAAAGTCTGCAATCTGCAACTGCATTGAAAATCCGGTTCAATTTGCGACAAGATTCTAGGACATTTAATGAACTATCAGCAAAATGGGAAAAACAGTTTTTAGAAACCTCTAGAGGTATTCAATTGAATGATTCGGAAATTGCTTACCAGATATCAGATTCTTTAAACATTGAACTTGATGCCAACACAGGGAGCGATATCGTCTATTTTTCTTTAACTTTCACGCTGATGATCACCTATGCGTCTTTTGTCGCGTCAGGAGGAAACTGTGTATCTCAACGGGGTCATTTAGGCCGTGCAGGGGTTATCTCAGCAGGATTAGCAATACTTGGAGCATTCGGTCTCATGTCCGTACTTCACGTCGACTTTGTCAACATTGTTGGAGTCATGCCTTTTCTTATTATTGGTAAATACAAGAATATTTTCTTCTTTTTTTTTGGGGGGGGGGGGGGTTTTTAATTTTTTTTTTTTTTTTTTTTTGGGGGGGGGGGGGTCTTTAATATTTTTAATTGTATTATCTTCTTTTTCTTTGTTGATTGATACTATGTATATTATGTTTTTGTCATTAATATTTTCTTTCGTATTCTCTTTCCCTTTTCTAATAAATATTATGTATATTATGTTTCTTGTCATTCATTTTTTTTATCATGTTATCTTTTCCTTTGCTAATTAATATTATGTATATTATGTATTTTGTCACTGATATTTTCAATCGTATTCTCTTCTTTTTAATTGCTGATTGTTTTGTCAGAATCTCATACATTAATGCATAGTTTTCTTTATTAAATATTTATACATATTTTCTCGAAATATTTTATCGACAGATATTTATTTCTGCAAATAAATCACTGATAGTGGCATTGTTTCTTTTATTGCACTGTTAAATAAATATGCAAGACCCCACACTTGTGTTTTTCTAACGAATCAGAAAGCACGAGGTTTTTTTGCGCGGACGAATAGGTTTACGAGTGCGCGGAGCGCACGAGCGAATATATACGTCCGCGCAATAAATGTGTTTAAGCATGGAAGACATTTAACATATGACATTTTTTTTTTTTGCATTTTAACCTCATGTCTGAATATATATGTTTAAAACAAATTGTCCTCTCTTCATTAATTTTCATTGACACAATATTACCTTATAGTCTCTTAATAAAACGTATTTATTCCGTTTTTATCTGTAAGAATAACTATTCAGTAATATTTCTGGAAAAAAACTTTTTTTTTCACTGATATACCGATAGAACATTTAAATCATTGTAAAATTGGATTTCAAGCATCTTTTTCGTTGACAGAGAAATAGAAAAAAGAACTGAATAAACGTGTTTTCCCTGTATCCTCTTCTCTCCCTTTTTTTAAGTGTATGAATATTGTTGATAAAGTCTTTTTTGGGTCAGGTTGGCGGGTGGAGCTTTTGCATTGAGTTCGTTAATTCTTAAGCAGGGGTATTCTAGTGATTATTTGTAACATTTTATAAACAACATACTTAACGTCTTTTCTCGATCGGAAGACACTGACAAACATGTATTTTGTTTTATCGTAATTAATTTCTAAATTTTCAGGAATTGGTGTAGATGACATGTTCATCATGATGTCCGGACTCGCTGACGCTGACCAATCCGCGGAAATAGAAGACAAAATTGCCTTTGTCATGAAAACCAGTGGAATCGCAATAACAATCACGTCTCTGACTAATTTCATCGCCTTCGTCGTCGGAATCACATCGGTATTTAAAAGTGTCCGAAACTTTTGTTTATTTACAGGTACCATTTTTTGTTTACAAACTTCTTTAAAAAATAATGTTCCTACCTACATAAACGATAATATAAAGCATTTTAATCAAGAATATTCGGGGTTTAAAAAAAAGTATACTACAATGTTTCTAAAATCAAATACGACAACATTATACATTTGATTCGAAGATTTATATGTGTTATACCTTGTAAAGAACACATATCATTCATGATACAATTCCAGTAATACATTATAAACTAAAAATGAATGCATATAACAAAATTAGGTCACATTGGTTATCATAGAATTATGGCATTTTTATACCAGGTTTTCTGTTTAAGATATTTTTATTTATTCTTTTTTCAGCAAGCGCTGTAGGATTTTGCTATTTCAACCAAATTACATTCTTTCTGGGGTGCATGGTTCTACATGAAAGAAGAGTAGCGGCAAACAGACATTGTGTTACATGTGTACCTGTAAAATTCCCGGATGAGAAGAATTCTACCTCTGAATCTATTGCTAAACGAATGTGTTGTACAGGGTCGCCGGCTGTGTCCAGAAATGAGCAAGAAAGTATGTTTGAGAAAGTTCCGCGTCTGGTTATACCAAGGGTGTTAGTTAGTTTACCGGCAAAGTTGATAACAGTTATGTTGTACTTAACATATCTTGCCTTTTCTATAATAGGAGTAACACGTTTACACCAAGGTTTGATTTTGCAGAATTTGGTGTCGGAAAATTCGTATTTTCATCGGTTTAGTAATTGGGACTTTGAGTATTTCCCTTTAAAATACCCATTATCCTTTGCTGTACCAACACCCCTCAACTATTCTTCAGTTAAAATTTCCGACGACATACAATCACTATTAACAACTGGTAGAAAACAAATCGAAGTGGAGGACAGTTTTGAATTGAACTGGCTCAAATCTTACCAACAATCTTCTTATTTCACAAATAAGTCAGAATCTGCATTTGTAAACGGACTCAAGCATTTTCTGAACAACACAAATGTTTTTAAAAATGATGTCGTTTTCAATGACGAAAAGGATTTGATTAAAGCGTCGCGATTTCATGTCATGTCAACAAGTATCAAAGACACTTCCAGGCAAGGAAAACTGATGTTGCGCATGCGCGAAATAGCAGACGATTCAAGCATTCCTTGTTTCGCATTTTCGCCAGCATTCATATTCTTTGAACAGTATGTCTCTGTACTACCGAGTACTCTCCAGACAGTCGGCATTGCTGTAGTCGCCGTTTTTGTTGTTGCCTGTGTATTGATGCCAAACCCTTTTCTCATACTTTGCATAACGATCTCTCTCGCCTCAATCATCACAGGGGTGCTGGGGTTTATGCATTTCTGGGGGTTGTCTCTTAGTTCCATAACTATGATCCATGTAATCATGAGTGTTGGCTTTTCGGTCGATTTCAGTGCGCATATCTGCCACGCCTTTCTAACGTCAGAGGGTCCCGATAAGAATGCTAGGGTGAGTAAAGCATTAGAAATTACTGCAGGGCCTGTTTTCAATAGTTCAGTATCCTCTGTCATCGGAATAGTGATGCTCACATTATCAGACTCCTACGTGTTCATATCCTTTTTCAGAGTGATGCTGCTTGTCATTTTGTTTGGCCTCTTCCATGGAATGTTTGTTTTACCAGTTGTTCTGTCCCTGATTGGACCACACAAACAAATACTTGACAATGTCAGTCTTTTTAAAAGGAAAAGCAAAAAGATAGAAGAAGCAATAGGAAACTACAACCATGCATATCAACCCGACAGTTAAACAATGAAAACACAGTTGTAGATAGGATAGTTTATAGTAATCGCTATAACAGGGCTTCATTGTAATTAGTAATAAGTATAAAGTAATTCATAGTAATTTATAGATAATGCTATAAAGTAATTACTAATCATTAAGGCTAAGTTTGTTTTGAATACAAACAGGAATTGAAAACCAATTTTGCGAGCTTTCGAAAACGTCTGATTCCTTTGTCAAGCAAAGAGTGCAAATGACCGGTGTCTCGACTCTGAACCTCAGAAACCTAATTGTTACTTATCTAGAGTAGCTTATAGATAGCGCTTTATAGTAATTAGTAGTAAGTAAGTAATAACTGTTTGTGATTGCGATAATGACAATATATATAGTACAGCAATGATAACTTATTCTTTGTGTATTTGTATTGTCGGTATATATAACTTGTGTATTTTTTACATTGTATTATCATTACATCTTCTTTTTTACAAATTTTGTAGTATAAATATATTTTTAAATGAACTGTTACTCACTTTCTGACTAGTGATAAATTGTATCTCGTCCTTTTTTGAATAAAAAATTCCTTCATTTATGAATGACTCATTCTTGCTTAAAGGGTATTGTTATTTAGTCAAATGACACCCTAAAAATCGATTAGATACTGAAAATATAGACCTCCTAACAAACATTTACGTAGTTGATAATGACATGACCTTAAGCCAACGTCCAGTGTGGTCAATTTTATCTTTTTGGACAGCTGGTGATAAAAAAAGCTTTGACAAAAATAGCACAATATCCGGGGTTTTCAGTGAGAAGTAAATATGTACAGTACCACGCTGTCGATCAAACACAGTGTCAGTGAGTCTGATTTCACATGTAACACGTTACTAAGAAAGTGCCGCAGGAAGAATTTCATACCGCACAAAGTTCGATATCAGTAGGTTTAAACGTAGATTGAGATGTTGTTTGGAAGATTTTAGAATAAATGTATTGGTATTCAAAGGAAGTTAAGTGTAGATAGCTAAAATGTACCTTCTCTCCTCGGCTGGACTGATTATTTGTTAACTAGAAGCTCACCGACAGCTACCGCTAAAACGTATGGTTAAGCAGTTAAGGAGTTCATTGTCCCTTTAAATACATGGATTCTTGTCAGGATATTTTCGATAAGGTGATTGTGTTCGTAAATGAACAAGCATTGATAAAATTTTAAAAATCTATATTCTAACTTGGGGGCCTAATATCAAAAAGAAGCATAAGTGATTGTTGGTATCTAATCATAAAATGCCGAAATACTCATGCAATATACATGTACTGAACATTTTGATCAGTGGACATATAGTGGCATCTGTTGATAAAGAAGTAACGTTATATATCTTTAAAACAAACATTTAATTTTAATTCATCCGTGTTGTTATTTTTCCAATTTAAAATGATGTATTTTTCTAATGAAAGATAACACTTTATTTCGTTAGAACGATTGAACATCTCAGGTCAATTTTAGCAAACAATCTTCAAACAAGGTTATAATTGCTTAACTATCACAGCGATGAAGGATGGAATATTTACAATTGCTGACTCCTCGAAGTAGCTTCAACACTATGTGGGCGTTATTGAGATTTAAACGTGTTGGTGAATTAACAGCAAAATGATAAGTCCAAATAAAATGCAACAATATATGAATTAGGACAACACCTGTAACAAAAACAAAACATTCTTTCATAATATAATCTACAGACAATTGATTAAAATATACATACTATCATTCTAATATTTATTAATATATACATATACATATTTTCAAATTCCCATAACATACATCGCCTAATGCAGATACATTAATGTTGTTTACGCGCATCCATGAATATGATTATTAATACATTTCCCTCACAGGGATTATGTAACAAGATCCACTCGACTTTTCTTGAAAAAATCACGTGCAATACTCCTTGCTGTTATTGATTATTAACAAATAATTGGTCGTTAAGTTAATCTAAAGACTGAACAACGAACAAAAATAATACAAATAAAGGTATATATTAGTAATCAGCATACAGTCTCACAACAAATTTCCTCAGCCCTTCCATCTTTAATCTAAAGAACTATATATATCCCCTACCGTATTAACCTTAAACTTACTTAACAGTATAGTAGTAATATTGAAAAAGTATTTTTTTCCACATTAATATCATCCAAATGTAAAAATGATTTAAATAACACAGACAATAAATACGTTTAACTATCATGATGACACCGTTATTTAAAGGCGAGTCATAAGAGACGTATCGTTTATAACTTTGTAATATTATTTTGTTAAATCCATGTTAAGAAAATAATACCAAAGAATCCAAATTACACTTATAACGTTCGTCTAATCTTTGGTCAATAATTATACATTCGAACGATCGTCTGTGCATCATTTTGGTTGGACATTTCTTTAGGTCAATCATACATCTACTAATACTAAAAGTCAAACAGTCATCAAAGTTTGTGGTCGCGATCGGGTGACGCAGTGGATAACGCACTTGCCTTTCACAAAGGCGCCCGGGGTTCGATTCCCCAATCGGTTGTGAAAAGGTGGAACACCTGCCCGACCACGTGGATCTTCTCCGGTACTCTGGTTTCCTGTAACATTAAAAATCCCTCCCCCTCTCATTCGCGCTTACAAAAGTGACTTATAAAAGTTACTATTACTTGTTTCATAATTGTTGTAAAAAAAATAAAGCTTAAAACTATATGTGTGCGTATACATCCTTAAGAGTTATATACCAACATAACAAATGCAGATTGTTGTATATCATATTATTAGGCGTTGTGTTCAGCCATATTTCCTTCTTTGGTCTTTGTTTTAACCTAAGGGGGAGGGACATTTGTTTGCTTTCTGAACATTATTTTAGCTATATTTAAACAGAGTTGGCATTTGCAAAGGCACGCCATGTATGATTGTGATATAATATGAAATAGGTGTTACCAAGAGGCGAACGCTTAATAAAATTATACTGTTTACATTTTAATCTATTGAATAAAATAGTGTAACCATCTTATAACAGTTTTAGAGTAAGCATTAATATTTTAGATGATATCGCATCGCACACAGAGGTTTAATTTTTATATTGAAAGCCGCTGGAACATTATATAATTCAATAGAATAGACAAGTACATTATGTACATGTATCCCTGTACAATGTCGTATGGACCATACTTTAATTTGTATCATAATGACTATATGCGTTACGGTATATTACGCCTATTTAATGTTAAAGAGGACGTTAGCCGATTTAATTATGTATACTAATGTAAAAGAAGAGGGAAAAGGCACGACCGGACCAGGGTTCGAACCCGGGACCCTCCGAACTCTAGACGGACGCTCTACCAATTGAGCCATGTGGTCGCCGGCGATCGACCCAGTCCAGTTCCGCTTCATTCCTTCCTCTTTTTTCAAAGTGTTCTATTATGATATTTTATTTAGTGCAGTATGTATACGATATAGGTCAATTAGGCTTTTCATGATAATCCCGGGATTGCCAGTTCGAATCCGAGTTTGTACACTCTACGAAAATGGAAAAAAAATACAACCTTCAACCCTACTCCTGACATATACATGTATCTTGCGTAATGTTGGTCTTTTACATTGACCCAAGACCAGATTTCTTACATACAAGCAATATGATACTTTTTTATGATAATAGGACGAGGAATAGTGATAAAGATAGCGCCGTCGCTGGGGCTCGAACCCACCACCATTGACTCTCCAGCCTGATGCTCTAACGCTGAGCTAAAGGAAATTCCCTACAGCTGACGCTTGTAAGGCAACCTAATAAATCCACATCTTTTACAAAGGTGGTGTTATTTTACAACCTGATCTCATACTGAATCTGATTTATAACTTAATGATTGCTAATTTTCCTATTTGACTGTGTAACAGTAACTACATGTATTTCATATGTAACGATACACATCATGTAGTCTACAGCAGAATCACAAAACAAAGATGCCTGCCATATATTCTGTATAACATGTACCGTCTTACTGAACCACACCGCTTATCATCTACGCGGGAAATATCGATTATGACGGCATAATGACTGATGACGTATTACGCAGGTTTTCTCTGTGTGTGCTGGGTTTGGTCTCAATAGTTAGAAATGGGCCAGGAAATCGGCGTTACATGTATGTCATAGCAATCGTTAAAATTGAAAAAGAAAAGAAACGTTATCAGAGACCGTATGTTTCTATATTGAAATAAATTAAATTTTGTTGAAAATTATTCTACATCCGATAGATCCAAAATGGCGGCTTCCATAAACGGAATTTGTGCACGCGCGATTTCCCAAAGTATGCAAGTGAATTGACTTGCAAGGTCTATGCGATGTAGCTCCCTTCATGAGCCCGCTATGCGGGCTAACACAAGAGCGTACGCTATAATAACTAACTGATTATTTTCTAACGTTATTTGATGAACTGCCAATACTTAAACGATATGGCTACAATATGAACTATCTGTTAGCGACAAAGTTTTCACCATTATTTTTAAGGAAACATTTCTCGATTAAATTTTAACCTAAAATTTACCAGGTCAATTAGTACAGACTACTCTTTGCCCTCTGGATAAACGTGTTTGTAAGATAGAGTTGTCCTGCATAAGAATGGTTTGAATGATATTTCTATCTTACAGCCCGTTTCACGTGACGTGACATCACAATGGGTTAACAATGACGTGACGTGAAGTCACGAATTCGGAAAAAGTCCGATGCTGCATTGCACGAAAGCCGACGTGATGAAAGTAAAACCTTTTAAAATATATTTTATCCTACAAATACGAAAGATGAGATTTTTTTTTCTGTGTTAACTAACTTTGCAAATATAGGTTATGCTAAATCTCGCTGACTGATTCGTTTCCGTCAAAAAAGCCGAGGAGGAAAATTGATATTTTCAATATGGTAGTCCGTCAAAACGCATTTTTATGGTTTCTGAACTTATTCTGGTAGTTGGAATGAGGCAAACATAAAAGAGTCTGATTATATTACATTATAAAGCTGTCAGTGTGATAGATGGTTGATAAATATGGTGGGACAAGGAAGTTGGTGAGAGAAAAATAGCGAGCGAACAGCTGTTACTATATCAAATGACAAACACTAACAGGCACACATGGTGAGTGCGGCACTCCTAGGTAATTCATTGTTCCTCTGGTCGATATATCAGCATGATATAACCTCTACAGTTAAAGGCTGTGTTTATAAAACTGTTATTTAATACAGTGTTGTCGACAGTTAATACATTATCGAAAATATATACGATAGAAATATCTAAAAACTAAAAATGTCCTAATAAAGTTGAAAACAATTACTGTACCAAAAGGTAGTTTGGTCCATTTAAGACTCATTAGTAGTAATAAAGGTCAAAATAGAATTCTAAAATCAAGGTCAAACATCTATGTCCATGGT